CCCCACCCTGCAGGCATTAGTATAGGGAAGAATAAAAGTAAAAAGTACAATAAACGTGAGACTCTCACTTCTCCATCCGCTGCCGAGCCATCTCAGCCTCGGAGATATCATTCTCGTTGTCAGCGTTCTCCTCCTCCTCTTCCTCCTTCTTGGGGGACTCCGAGTCGGAGGCGTTCCTGTTCTTGGTGTGTTTGGGGCAGTAAGCCTGAGGGAGAGACACACACAACAACACAACTGTAATGTCATCATCAATGTTTTACGCCACCATCGACACAATTATGATCACTTAGAAAGCAGGCTGCTGCTACCCTGCCTGTCAGGCTGACCCTTGCGACACCCCAGCTGAAAGAAAAATAACCTTTAAAAAATAAAAAAATTCAGTCTCCACTACAAACACAAGTACATAAAGTCCCTATCATGGAAATTCGAGTCTGAAAAAAAAATAATTTTTTGGATAATTTTGACAAGCGTCAACACATGCTTCTGAACTACAGATTATCATCTACTCTAACAAACCCAAAACCACACAACACATGACACATCTGCTCCACGGATACTATGCATTATGCTTTTGCTCCCACAACACAACACACTACCTCCCCACACACAGTATACTATGCACCTGCTTACTACACGCCATGCACTTCGCCTCTACTGCCAAAAGCACAACACACCTGCTCACTACACGCCGTGCACCCAGTCCCAGCACCCAAAAACAGCACACATGTGCTCATTACACACAGCTAGCTACACACCTATTCCTTTTCCATAACTCAGTGCACACCATGCATCTAGTCCCTGCACCCTACACACAACACACCAACAAGCACCCACACACAACACACCAACAAGCACCCACACACAACACACCAACAAGCACCCACACACAACACACCAACAAGCATCCACACACAACACATCAACCAGCACCCACCCGTAAGTGAATCCCGTCCATCTCGTCCGTGTCGTCCAGGATGGTCTTCATGTCCAGGTTGTGAGCGAAGCCACAGGTGACGTGGAAGGCCGTCTTGCACTGCTTCACCGAGCACTGGATGCACGCCCCGACGCGCTCCTTGCACAGACAGCACACCAGGGCCCACCGCGACGGCTGGACGGATCACACATGGTTTCAATTTTAGTTTTAGGGAAGAGTTTTACGGCATGGCAACACACAAATAGGTCAAACAAATGCCAAAGATACAGGACAACCATGTACATGTAAATGTGGCCAAAGAGTCTACATAACAAGAGGGGCCACTCCTCTCTTTGAGCCAATTAAAAAAGTGTCCTCAAAATTCGGTGGCGCCCTCTTCGCAAACGCGCACCTTTTGCGAGCAGAGTTAACCTACTTGAGTTTAAAAAATCAAAGTGAAACTACCAAGTTTTTGGATAAATTTCGGAAGAACGCTTTTTGAAATGGTTACGCTGACAAAAAACCTGTTCCAGAGGAAGGGGTGATTGTTTTCTTCGTTCAATTTGACTTTAGAATGAAAGGCGAGAGGTCATTAAAATAAAAAAAACCCTCTAAAACTCCGCACTGAACGAACCCGACCTGCTAATGAACAGCAGTCGATCTGCGCAAGCAAGGAGGTGCTATTCCTATTCTTCTTTTGGAAAAACGAAAGAGAGCTTCAAAACAGACTGCAGCGCCATCTGAAGCAAAGAGTGGACTTCCGGCGGACACTTTTTTGGCTGAGTGGCCCATCTTGTTATGTACTATCTTTGATGTGGCACAACACGGTGGAAACAGGCTCTCGTCAATTTTTGGGCACACGGAGTGGATGGTATCATCTTAAGACCTGTCCATTTTCCTTGTTTTGGGTGAAAATAATATCCATCTATGTTGAATAGAAGTCGAGATATGTGTGATTGAAGGAGGTGAGGGTCATCTGGTTTCTGGTGTAAAATTAGCGAGAAAATAGCCACTTCTTCTGCCTTTCATCAACGTTTTTCAGTAAAATCCACACAGAAATGTGCTCTTTAAACGGCATGAAAGGTGTTGAACTAAAAAAAAAAAAAAATCGATAAAAATTCCCAAACCTGCGGGAAAATGCCAATTTCTTGATTTTCATTATTTTGACGCGCGCCTGATTTCACCACGCTGCCTCACATATAGATTTATGGAACAATGTGTGCTTCAAACCAAGACTTACAAGTAATCAAATTTAGGAGCGTAGCTTTAAGCACATTCAGAAGACTTGACCAACATCATGTCATATTATCCATCATTTTTAGATACACGAAAGTGTTGATTAACAACATTTTAGTTAAAAAGAAAAATTTGCCCCTTCATAATGAACAACAAAGTAACTTGTTACTTTCAGCTGTTTTGGTTGTTTTTATAAAAAAAACATTTCTCAAGACAAAACAATTCAAAGCTTCCTCCTGGACAGCAAAACAATAATTTATCCAACTTCCAAATGACACCAACACAAGAAGGAACCAGCTGAACAAAGTTGACAGGGGACACAGCAAGCCATACTGAGGACTAACCGGTATATTGGATATCTTGGTGATGGGCTCCATTTTCTCCGGGTCTCCTATACTGACTTCTGGTATCCACAGGGCACAGCTCACGTGAGTCCACTTGGTGCCACTCCTGCCAGGGGGGACAAACAGACAGACAGTCAGTCAAACAACAGACTACATATCACACAATGGGCGTGGTAGAGTAACTGAGATGAGTATTTGTTAGGACAAAATAAAACACCTCACTATATAGTGCACACTTCTGCAAAAAAAAACCAAAAAAACGATCCCCTGCCCAAGCATCTGATTTTTTTACACACTTTGACTGTAAAACTTTCAACTACGGAGATTACAAAAGCTCCTTGAAATTATTTTTACTTGTTATCTATAAACACCTTTGTTATTATATGCAGAGCGAGATACAATTAGACACTTAAAAAATCATAAGTTTCACAGTTCTTTTTGTTTCCACTGTTCACTTTGGAGAAGTCTCCAATACAATGCACACATCCACTCTGTCACAAGAAAAATGAGCCACTCAAGCAAAATTCCCTAGTCTTTCTTGTGACTAAAGATAAATACGTCTCCGTAAGCCAACCCCCCTAATCAGCCGTGTTGTGGGACTCACCGCGTTGACTTCATGGCTCCACCACGCTTGGGGCACAGCAGACACATGGGCTTGATCCCCAGGGCACAGATACGGCACAGCCAGCTACCCTCCGGGATCGTCTGAATCCCGTAGCATGCCTGGAAAGAGCACGAGAACAATTAAGGCCTAAAAAAAACGCAGTAGTACAACAAAGACACGGCACACTATATTCAAAACCCTTGAACGTTATAGTTAAAGCCACCATCTCACCAGTAAAGCTGTTTGTTCGTTCGTTTGAGTAAAGAGAAGCACATTGACATAATAATGGACATTTAGTGCTGGGAAAAAGTAAGACAGACAGACAGAAACAACAGAGGGAAAGTAAAGTAGCAGACCTACCAGTAGCGCCCTCCAACCACCGACCCAGTAAAAGTGAATCCTGCTACAAGATGACACGTAGCTAACCCACAGTTAACAAACTTTACCCGTTGAAAAACTGGGCTATTTTAAGCCCTCATTTCCCTCTGGCGCAGGTTATCAGCAACGGGCAATGTCACACGGGTGAACGAACACTGGACCGAGCGACATTCACAAACACCCGGACAGATGAGCCACCGAGTGAACAGAGACACAACAAGAGAAATATCACCACAAATCGTCTCCCCCCCAACGATTTTAACCAATTTACTTTCATTGAATGATTTTTGGTCCATTTGTAGACATTTTTTTTTTCTTATAACAGACTACATTTTTTTGTTTTTGATTTCCATCTCCATACCTGGTGCACACAGATGTCACAGCCATCACAGAAGACCATCTCATTCGTGTCCTCGCTTTCCAACTGGGGAGATACACAAATATATAGAAGATTTTAACACCTTCACACTACACACACAATGCACAAAAACGGGACACGGAGTAGAAATGGGCAAAAACTATTGTATAAAAATGGACAAAATGTATAAATATATGAACTGTCTCATTCCAGGCACAAATCAGAACAAATAAACTTCAAAATCCTTTTTAAAAAAATAAGAATTTACGGAGGGATGTGGTATCTAGTGAATATCTAAACCCTAAATTCGGGAAAAACAAAGTACAGACCATTTATTTCAGTGTCTTCAAAACTACAGGAATCCACTCACCATTCTGCAGACGTCGCAAGCAATGTCTTCGTCGTATTCGATACCAAGCCCCTCCTCGGTTTTCTTCACAGCGTTCGTTTTTGCGTAGCACTGTGGGGAGGAGAGAAAAGGGTGACACATTAAAACCAGATTGGTCATTACACAAAATAAGAAGCATGGCTCTCAGAATGACACACTTATCAAAACGGTAAAGGCTATAAGGAACAGGAAAAGGCAAGAGATGACAAAATTAAAAAGTCGACAAGAACATAATAAAAAAACAAAATGTAGCCAAAATTGTAAAGCTACGAAACAAAGGATTGTTGAAATGCAGCTTACGGAGTAAGATACCATGATCACTACAATATGCTACAGAGTTCACTAAAAAATATAATAATAAAAGCGAAAAACGCTGCATGACGTTGACAGAGCAAACCAGCGAACCATTTATGAACATCCACCAACTATCTGCCGGAAAAAAAGAGTCAGACAAACAGTTATATAAACTCATGGGCTAACAATTTTCCTAAAAGTACCAGGCCTGACACGTGTCCTACGTTCTCCTAACAAAAAGGCAATTGCCTCACCTGGTTCTCCAGCTCTTCAATCATTCTCTCCAGGTTCCACTCGTTAATCAGCTGTAAGCCTGGAAAAAAGGACACAAAAACATATTGACTATGGAGGCTGAGAGCTGTAGGGATTTGTACAGTTTAGACAATGAGCCTAAGAGACTGCTTCAGCAACATTACCAGGACACACAAGCATGAAAACAGCCATATTGACCCCCTCCATATGGAATGCATGCATTCGCACGACAGACTGTCTTACCATTACTTACAGAATCTAGATAAATGAGTTCTTTAAAAATTGGCATCCCATCGATGGAAAGCACAAAGGCATGCTAGAAGAAGCTATTCCCAGTTATCAATTTCCTTTCAGGATATAATTACCATTACATTAGTCTTTTAATAGAACAAAAATGGTGCATTTATAGGGAAACAGCAGTAAACACTGTGATCGTTGGAAAAACAGCACGCAAAACCATTGTGCATACAAGGTTTTACAACAGTAGTAACAATGAAAAAAAGTAAAGGAAGTAGACTTCCTCAGTACACCCACCAGCCCTTTATAGGACAGCCAATGGGCGACTAACATTTCCATACAGTCATAAGAAAAACAATAGCAAAACCAAAACAAAACAACCCCCCCGATCCAAAAAAAAAAGAAAAGAAGAAGACCCAGTCATTACAAGGTTCCCTTTCTCACCCATCTCCTCGCGGTCCTCGTTGACCAGCTGTAGCCAGGTGACGTCCTGGTCATCAAGGTCGTAGCGGACAATATGCTCGGCGACCTCCTGCATGCCCGTCAGCTCGTGCAGGACGCTGACATACGTCTCGTCGCTCTTCTCGTGGAGATATTTGCGGGGTGGGCTGGCAGAGAGAGAGAGAGAAGGACATGCTTTTTAAAAAGTTTTAGTACGATTTTTACGGCACTTGCAACACAATACGGTCATATAAGTGTGGAAGATTAGAGGTGTTACAAAATTTATTTTTTTTAATAGTAGAGGGTTTTACTGCGCTCGCAACTGCATAAGGTCATATGAGCGCCAAGGGGTGGGTGTCAACAGAGAAGTCTTTACAGGGAATCAGACTTACTCTGCTCACCTCTCTAGCTTCAACAGCACAAGGTCTGCTTCGACGTCACAAGAGTGACAAACATACAAAAGAAGTAGGGGAAAAATGACAATTAGTAAGGATTAGGAAAGAAAAAGCAGCAGTTCCCTGTAGTAGATCAGGCACAGTTATGAGCGTGACATGAATCAGCCCATTTACAATTCTACTATGCTTGAACGAGAAATGTCCCCCCTTTGGAAATGGCCTAAAGGCACTAGTCAGTGGCACTGCCCCGGAGGGATGGCAGAGAAAGAGAAGGAAATGCTTTTTAAAAGTTTTAGCACGATTTTTACGGCACTTGCAACACAATAACGTCCTATGAGCGCCAGAAGATTAGAGGCGCTCATATGACCTTAAGCAGCTGCGAGCGCCGTAAAACCCTCTACTACAAAAAAAATAAAAGTAGACCTGCAAAAATAATAAAAATGTTCAGTAAAAGATATCTAGGATTAACTTATGGGCTTTGTTCTCAGTGCTATTTCCAAATCCGGTCTTAAAAGTTCATAATTTTTCTTCAGCCACAGCAAGTCAGTAAGGAGCAATACTAGAAAAAAGAGAATTCTTATTTTCAGATACAAAAACGGACTTCTGTACTCAAACCCTTAAAAAAACCAACCTCAATCCAAGTTTTACACACTAGTTGGCAGCTATACATACTCATTCAGAGACCAACACAATTCTTTCTTTAATAATTTCAAGCATTTAGAAAAACTCTTTGACAACACAATTCTCTCTTTAATAATTTCAAGCATTAAGAAAAACTCTTTGACAACACAATTCTCTCTTTAATAATTTCAAGCATTAAGAAAAACTCTCTGACAACACAATTCTTTTTTAAATAATTTCAAGCATTAAGAAAAACTCTTTGACAACACATCTTTCAGGGAGAACAGGGTGGACCCTTGAATCTTTTAATTGGGAGGTGGGTGGGTCTTTTATAACAGTAAATCTTGAGCAGTCAGATCTGGAAGTCTGCATGTGAACAAACGACTTGGAACTGACATTTTACATTACCACCAGCACTGTCGGGTAATTTGATAGCTTGGTGGCAGACAGTCCTTGACAGTAAGGTAAAACAAAAAAGGACATCTACTTACATTTTAAAGTCGCCATTCTTTTCCTTAGGCCTTATGTCCCTGAAAATAAATACCAGAACCATTAATTCTGTTACAAACTAGTCTGCACTTTACATGATAATAACAGCAACGCAGAAACCTTTCCGCTAAAAATTCAACCGAACAAGGCACTTAAGTCTAGGAAAACTCCGATAGCTTTCCAGGTCAGAAAGAAAATAATACTATTTTTATAATACATATATACCAAAGGGACATGAGGAAGAACTCTGGCAACCTTGCAGGAAGGAAAGTGAATCAAGACCTTTGCTGGTCTGAACTTACGAAACCTTTGGAAAAAGGGTAATAATAATAGATAGCATTTGTACAGCGCGAATCCCTGCTCAACAGCAAGCTCTATGCGCTTTACAATCTACACTATTACCCCAGCTGACCAGAGAGCATTCTGAAAAAAAACTCATCTTCCTGGGAAGCATACAGTGCAAGCTGCCATTTATGGCTGCTAAAACAAGGGAGAAGGAAGGACCAAACATGCAGGCCAATCTCAGTTAACTCTGTCACTACCAGGGGTTTTTTCCTCACCTGGACCCCCCCCTCCCAAATCTGTGACCTACTTTCTGATTCTGCCTACCCTCGAACAAACTAAGGACTTTTAGTTCAACTTTCAATACAGTGCAGCCTCTTTATAACGACATCCTTCGTGTAGCAACATGGTGCACACGTCCCGATTTTTCCCTTATATGTATCATTTGTAATTTTTGGTTGCCTCTCTATAATGAAATTTTTTTCTGGTCCCCCGACGTTGTCGTTACAGAGAGGCTGCATTGCATATGAAATGAGTCAGGAAAAGAATGAATTTAAGGCTGTATCAGCTTGAAAAAAAACCCTCCCCTCCAT